GTTGGGGTTTTAGGGTTGTTGCGGTTTTTGGGGTTGGGGCGTTCGCGTTGTTGGGGGGAACAGCCTTGCCCGTGGTGGTGGCTGTTCATTGTTCGCGGGTTTAGAGTGACGGGCAGTTCCTGTGTCACCACACCATATGTATATATGCATATACACATCTACATAACATATGTAGAAACATGTATACAAAAATACATAGAGGGAGGGAGACAGAAACAGAGAGAGAGAGAGAGTAAGAGCTGCACAGGAAGTGTCGAGATGGTGTTTGGATCGAGTTAGCTATGGAATCTTCAGCGTTGTGTCTGCTGTGGCTTCCTGGTGTCGGGTTTAAGGCTTCGGATCTGGACTACTGCAGCTTATGATCGCCTATGGGCAGCACGTGCTCTGATGCTTATGTAGTTGGGCTGCTTCAAGGCTCCGTCAGAAGCCCTAGGCCCTAAGCCCAGAGACTCATGTATCAACAACACCTGGACCTTATCAGATGTACTACCAAGCCCGCCACACGGATACCGAACTCTAATGTATGTGTGTATGCTGAACGTTAGACCTGGGGAGGTGGACCCGTCTACTCCACCTAAACTCTACGCCCAAACACTAAACCATAATCCTCTATCTGTCTTCGGGAATCGCCGAGCTCTTGAACTTGGTGACCTTGTTGGAGGTCTTTGTGTTTATAGGAAAACCTAATACCCATTCTAATGAACTTGTGGACCGCCCTTTCTGTTGAGCTGTTACCAAGGCTCTAGCCAAGAGCTGCCAGCTGGAGACCCGGGGTGTTCAGGGCTTTGAGTCACGACTTAGGGTTGATGGATGTAGGGTTTAGGGATTAGATTAGGATCGTTAGGTTTTTAGGTTGTAGAGTTTCGGGTTTAGAGTCGAGGATTTGGGTTTAGGCTTTAGGTTGGCGTTGGCTTTGAGGTCTTAGGCTGGGGGCCAAAATTAGCGGTCGAGTTTGGTCCTATCCAACTGGCTCTTGACGCAAATCTGATGTGCATTTCGTCTTCGAAGATTTTTCGCGCTGTGCAACAAGTCTTTGTAGCTAGGTGCGCAACACATAGAGGACGGTCGATGGCACTGTTCGGTGTCGCGATGCAGCAACACCAATCGCCATTGCCAGCCCTCCTTCCCTTCTGAGTGTATCTTAACGACCAGGCCTGTGATATGTGGTGAGGTTCTTGGGTAATGTAGGGGCCTTAATAATTAGAATAGGGTTTGGGATATATAAAACTATAATTTACACTTATAATAAGAAACCCTCACAACCCTATTCTAACTATTAAGGCCCCTACATAACAGCTCATTGGGAACCACTGGTGTGTTTTTCTAATGGTCTTTCCTGGGGGCAAACCATTCCTATCGCTCAGGGGCACGGCTGTCACCTCAGGATTGGACAGGCTCCGACCAGCAAAATGTGCTTTGATTCCTAAACCCTGCTAAATCCTGTGTGCCCTAAGCCGCTAATTGCTAAACGCCCAGACCCTAAATCCTAAATGCCCTGACCCTAAAGCAATGCCATGCCCATGCCTGCATGTAAGTCTTCCAAGGTTGTGAGCCTCATCCAACAAGCCCTCGATCGCAGGGCAGGCGCGGACACATAGCCAGTGTGGATTGAAGATAGTGTTTGCACAGGGAGGGATAGAGGGGGGTTCATGGTGAGGAAGGGAAGGCAGGGGAAGGGCGGAGATCATACTGGGTTTCATGAAATATGGACTCGTAGCGGCTATTCTGGAGGCACCAATGCACCATCACAGTTGCTTCGACATCCGAAATCGTAACCCCCTAAGCTAACACTAACCCTAGACCGTGAAACCCTGAACCCAGACCCTAAAGCCTGCAAACCCTGAAACTCTGAACCGTAAACCCCATACTCTACACCTCAAACCCTTAACCCCCAACGCCACACGCCCTAAATCCATCAGCATAAACTTTTTGAGCACGGCCGAAGGAGAGGACACCTGGTACAGCCGCGCCCAAGAAATCCAACGCATGCTCAAGGCTCGGGAGGGGGTGTCGCACTAGGGTATATGATGTTATATAAGTTGTATATCGTAGATCATAAGTTTCACAGTTATGCAATATAGATACTGCAGTCTGGCTGTAGGTTTGGTGACTTCAACACTTCAGTAGTATGAGGCTGGGTGCAGTCCCAGTAAGAGCCCGCGAGAAGGAGGCCACGAGAGCTTTCCGACTCAGACTTGACCACGAAGCTTGGTATCTGGGGGTTTCCGAAAATAGTGGACCCTAAAATGGTACCCTAAATACTAGGACCCTTACTATAAGGACCCCAAAATAAGGTACCCAAAATTTTCGGAAACTCTCATCTGGCGACGAAAGCCACATGACGATCATGCCCTGAACTCTCACCAACACCTGCTCTGTGAAGAGCCGAGATGTCGTCATGGGCAGGGGTCCTCTGCTCTGGTTTGGGAAAAGGGATAACACCGCATGTAACGCCGATCGGCTTCGATCGCATCATTGTCACGCGCATCGAGCAGTGAGCAGTCGCTTCTTCATGCCGTAGGGAGGTTGCTGGTCGCAAAATGCTTCTGCAAGTCTCTGCGGCACTGTTCTGCTACTGCACCTGCGCGATGGTTCCGTATGCACGGTGGATGAGCTGTGTTTTGACCTGTACCGTCTTCATGCTAAGCATGTCAGTCAATGGCCTATGGTTTGGACGGGTTTCCCGTGCCAAGTTGCGGTTCATGGGTCCAGCATGCCAACTGCGACCCGAGCAACTTCACACTGTTTTGCTACAGTGCGCATGTGCGGCGAACACCACCTGTAGGCTCTACCGACTCTACCAGCAGTGTCAGCTAGCCGCACCTGAATGTCCAATGCATCAATTTCGCATGCCTTGTGCGGGCTTTGCCACATCTCGCGCTTGAACTCAGATTCAGCAGGTTTTGCGTGTTCCGACACTGTTTTGCTACAGTGTGCACGTGCAGTCGCACCACGTGCAGACTCTACCAGCAGTGTCCCAATAGTTGCAGAGGCTTCATCCCCAATGCATCGCTTAACCTGCTTTGGATCAAGGCTTTTGCGATAAACTCGCTGT